CCCCCCCCGCCAGCCGGTGGCCCCTGGGGCAGCAGACGTTGGGTGTGGATTTGCTCCGGGCCCCGCCGGCTGGGAAGTTACGAGTCCCGGACACGTATTTACATGATAAGGGCTCCCGGGCGTTTCTCGGAGCTGTCCGGGGCGTGCCTACGCGAGTTCCAGTTTTCCCCAGTCTACCTCCTCTCGGTCGGGTTAAAGTGCGCGGGGGGCGCAGTGGGCTTGGGGCCTCCTGGGGCTGCAGATCTGGAGTCGGGGAGCTTACTGCGAAATCAGGTAATGGGTAACCTGGAGGGCTCCCCCCTTCCCTTAATTTCCCCTGCCCCGAGTCCCAGGGACATCGTGCTTCTCTGGGGGTGGGGGTGGGGGGCAAGCTTCCCCCCCCCAGAGCGTCGGTCAAGGACCCCGGGGACGGGGTTGGGAGGAACGCACCCGCAATGGCTGGGACCCAATCCCGCTGTCCCGGGCCTGGTCTGTGCCGGGCAGAGCTTCCTAACTGACCCCCGTAGGGGAGGGGACGCTGCGCCCTTCCTCCGCCGCGCGGGTCCTGGGTCTACGCGGGCCGCCTTGCTCTGGCCCTTTAAGAGCCCGCCCCCTTCCCCGTCACCCCGCCCCGCGGCCCGGGGAAGGGGTGCGGGGGAACCTCGGCGGGGATTGGCGCAGCGCGCGCCCCCTCCCCGGCCCCCGCGCGGTGGGAACCGGCAGCCCCGTCTAGCGCTGACGTCAGACCGTCTGCCTGCCTCCGACCGCGGTCTCGGAGCGAAACCCGATCTCCTTGGACTTGAATGAGGAGGAGGCGGCGGCGGCGGCGGCGGCGGCGGCGGCGGCGGTGGAGGCGCTCGGCTGGGGGAAGCCAGCAGCGGAGGCTCAGCCCCGGCGGCAGCGCGCGTCCCGGCTGCCAGCCCATTTCCCGGACGCCACCCGCGGGCACTGCCGACGCCCCCGGGGCTGCGGAGGGGCAGCCGGAGGGCGCAGGGGAGCGCGGTCCCGAGCACTGAGTCCCGCGGCGCCCCGGGAACTTGGCGGCGCCCCGAGCCCGGCGAGCCGGGGCGCGCCTTCCCCGCCGCGCGCCTCCTGCATGCGGGGCCCGAGCGCCGGGCGCCGGCCGGAGCCCCCCCCGGCCGCCCCCGAGCCCTCTGCGCCCCGCGCCGCGCCGCCGCGCCGTCCATGCACCGCTTGATGGGGGTCAACAGCACCGCCGCCGCCGCCGCCGCCGGGCAGCCCAATGTCTCCTGCACGTGCAACTGCAAACGCTCTTTGTTCCAGAGCATGGAGATCAGTGAGTGACCCCGCGCCCCCCTCCCCGGAGGCCCCGTCAGGCTCGGACCCCGAGTCGAGGCGCAAGTGCGGGCGGGGGCCTGGGCCGTGCGCGCCCCCTCGG